CTAGCAAAACATTGTGCAAGCTGCCTCAAATTCTGAAGGGATGGCAATATTTCTCATTCTTGGAAGAACCTTGTCATCAAACAACCAACAATATTTCCTTAATATAAGCATCATGACTAAACTACTGAAATGATATCCTTCACCCAACCTTGCAATTTCATCAAGAGACTGATCTACATGCCACTATAGAGAAGAAAAGTACTTGATGTTATTCCTTTTTTTGGATGAGTAAATGCACACCAGTAACTTTAGACTCTTTACATGACTATAGGAATGGAGGTCAGCACTAAAACTAGCACCTCAAACCCCATGTTTGTATTTGCAACAGGTGTTCTAAATACCTGCTATAGAAAAACAGTGTCTGGCCAATAGAGCCAGCAGTGTCAAGAGAAAGGGTCTTCTCAGCCTAAAGCTGCTCCCTGGAGGATGTTTTCCTTTTTAAAACATTAACTTAGACAACCACACACCTGTAGGTGAGCTACGGAATTTATTTGGTTGCTTAAATGATGTTGTATAATGACATTTGAGGCAGCTTATCAAGATCAACCACTTTAGCAGACACCTCTACCTCACCCTCAGCTGCTGCGCCAGGTTTGTGCAGGTATCCTGTTCATCCTTTCTTGTATTCACTGCTTCTGTATGAAACTTTATGGCTTTTTGGTGACACTAGACACATGTTTAGAGGCAATTCAGCCAAGCCCCAGAGCAAAAGGAATCAGTCTCCAGATTTGTAGGCCTGAAATTGGATACCTAAGTGTGGTGTATGAGATAGAGGATGATTCAGATAACTATATCTGTACGTATTGAGCCTTTTCAGGAACTCTGTGGTATCTGATGTATCCGCATGGGACTGGTAAATACAGTCCAGAAAAGGTTCAGAAGAAACTGGAGGTCATGCTAAAGTCTTTCACATAGCACTGGACATTAAAATGCGTGCAGCTGAACTTAGTCTCAACCCAGGGAGGAACAAGAAGTGGGTAAAGCTAAACAGGCATCAGACTGAGTCTTCAGGTTACAAGTCCCAGCTTGTGAGTATATGTGGCTGAGAAATGAGACAGGGAAGGATCCTAGCCCCTTTCCACTGTCTAACTGCAGACCTATCTGAAGTGGAAATTAAGCAGAGTGTTACTACTTCTATCCCTTTGTAGATCCCTTTCAAGTTGTTTGGCTTGCAGAAACATTAAATGCTCTGCACTTCCCAAAATCAAGAACCTATGCCTGTGTTCTCATTGAGGTTTTATTTAGTAAGCATGGCTGGAGGGCTTGATATTCATAGATGCTGAATAGTATTAATTAATGTCTGTAGTTTAGCACCTGGCAACTGCAGACCTCAAAATTACATGCTATTTTTGAAAATGTAAAACTCTGTCTTTAAGATCCAGGGAAAGATTTCATGGAAATGGAAAGGGGCTGTTTCACCAGCTTCACCTTATACATATAAATCACCGAGTTTTATTTTTAAATATCAGTAGACTTCTGGGGCAGGGGCAATCTTGTTTAGAATAACTTTGGTTATTTTTCCGAAGAGAGAGGATAAAGTTTTCTTTACACACAGACTAAAGGATTTGAAGAACAGTGACAGTTCATTTACAGGTGGGGGACCACCTTTTCCAATCCCATATGCTTATTTGAGCACTATCTGCTTTGGGAAGTGTATGGACTCTGTCGCTTAGCAACCACCCTCCTTCTTCTCAGAGTGGCAGGAGGATGCTCTGCGCATGCATGTGCACCGGTAATCTCATTTTCAGACCACAGCAGGCCTTGTTGTGATAGTCAGCCAGATCATATACAGAGATATTTTGCAGACGATCAGTCCATTTCAACTCCGTGCAAGCAAAATCTGAACCAGTTCATTTTAATGTTCAGTCTCTGAGTTGGAAGTATTTGAGATCATTGTATCTTGTTTACAGACAAAATAAAGGGAATATTACTAAGGCAGTGAGTTCCCAGTCCAAGTTTCTACTGAAGAGTGTATTGCAAGCTGTGTGAAGATTTGCTGAAGTATGAAGAATGTTTTCATAGACAAGAGGAAAAAGTAAAGAATGTATAGTACAAAAATGGAGAGTCTTTACTATTGCATGGAACTGAACTGAAAGATAGTCAATTAGTTAAGAAACACACAAGGTTCACATGATAATTTTTCCCTCTGACGACTTGTCAGAAGCGTCATGAAGTAGTAGTGAATTGTTTATGTATCTCTATATTACCTACAAGGGCGTACACTAGTCACCCGGCGTACACTAGATGGTGCTTGCACAACACAGTGAGCAAAAAGTGAGTCTGTCTCAAGATGTGTCAGCGACTCAATTCTCCACCTCTTCCTCGAGTATTTTGTGAGATGTGCACCCTGTTCCATGAGTGGAGTCACATAATTAATTATAGAAGGTTCACGAGTGATGTAAAAAAAAATGGCTACTTGACATTTCTTTGACCAATGCAATAAAGAGATAAAAACATTCATTTGCATATCTGTATATATGTTTACACACACTCATCTAGATACATAGTCCTGGCAGCTCCAAGTTACTAAAAACAGAGAGCTGCTATCATGATACCTTTCCTATACTGTTTTAAAGAGCTACACAGGCACAGAACTGAGATGAATGGAAGGGCTCTTTTCTTTTTGGTAAGTTTGTACAGCACCCAGCACCATACAGATCTTAATTAATAACTAAAATCTAGCATGAACTACCAGGAATTTTGGAAAAGGAGGGGGGTGGAGAAAGGAGGATATCTATCCTCCCCATTTCAGCAGCATTGTCACAGAGAAGAAAACAAGAAAATCCTGACTCCCAAAGGAAATGATCTCTCTGCACTATATAAAGACATACAAACTGTATAAAAGTTTTTTGTATAACCTTGGGACTTCTGAACATTTAAAGGGAAAAAACCCTGAATCAATCATTTTTACAACTCTATGAGCTTCATAAATTTTGTATGTATCTATAAAGAATATCTTGTATTTAATTAAAAAACAAAACTAAAAAGCTTCAAAAATTGTTTACAAGAATTTAAGTATCATCTTCATATATATGCTTCCCATATACCAGCTCATATAAAGATAAACACATTTCCAAGTCATAACATATATTGATTCTTGGTCCATCGTTTTTAAAGTCCAGACCTTGCAACAGCTTACCATATTTTAACATAGCAGTTAAACATGTTTAACTCTAGATTTGTTTAAAGAACTTGCTTTTTTCAGTCCTGTCTGGAGGCTCATACACCTGGACTATGGTCTAAAATCAAATGTAATTACTTTCAATGGATGCGCATTCCAAGCAAGGCTGGATTTTGGACTGAGAAGAGAAAGTGAATAGCAGGGCTGGAGGGAAGAAGGGCTGCCAGACAGAAGAGGGAAGTTCAGCCAGATTTACTTGGGTTGGTGCCAGCACATGAACCCAAACATCCCACATCAAATTGTGATGCCAAAATACAAACAAGAGTTAAATAACAGTTTCTGCAGTCTTCTAATATTAAGGAGTTCCTTTTAGTCCAGGTATTTGTAAAAACAGTGGTGGTAAGATATTTTTTGTGTTTTATTAAATGGGATAGGAGGTAATGAAGGTTGGGGTAGTGGGTATGGTTGTTCCTGGAAGACTTGAGCAGGTGCATACCGACACTAAGTTTCTGAAGGTGTAACAGAAGCAGATAATCATAAACAATACTAACCATTAGGTCTTCAATTATCAGGATAAGCCAGGCATTTCATTCAGCCGTGTTTTGACACTAGCTTGCCATGTTTTCATGGCCTTCCTATTTTACTTTTTCCTGAAATCCAAGGAGCTTTGCTGACTTCACTGTGAAGCAAGAACATGCTTTCAAGTGGGCCAAAACATATGAGATTCCACGTGGCCCACTGTGGAGCAGGGTTATGCCAGAATATCCCTGCATCTGGATTTTGTTATTTAGAAGAGCAACAACACTAGTTTTCCATTTATGCAGCAGAATTAGCAGTTTGGCTCAAAAATTGGCTGCTATGATTCCTTCTGAATCCAGCAGGAGTAAGATGCCAGGTGCTGACTTTTGCAGCTCTGTTGCACCATGATTTAGCTTGGATTATTATATGCTGTAGCAGTTCTACTTACAGGCAGCCCTACTTTCTTGTTGTTTCTGCTCACTTCTCCTGCCTGCCAGACTTCCCCTGCCTCCCCACCATGCTCTCTGTCCAGACTGGGAGTCAGACACCTAAACCTGGTAAAATCCAAAAGTATTTAGGTAGATTCGGTTCTTCCCAGACCCTCAGGAAGATCAAGAGGAGAAGAAAAACATATTTTCAAAGTGGGGGCTAAGTGTTTTCGTGGGGGAGGATGGTGGGAAAAAGCAGAAAGGAGGGGCAGGGAGAATTCACACCAGGAATTTTCATGAATCAAACCCAGAAAGGGTATCATGTCAGTCATAGAAGAAATGTGTGCCTTACATTTGGAGCCAAGGTGTCTGGACCATCTGAGTTGGCATCACGTTGTTGCAGCCTGTCCAGCTGATAGATAAATAAGCAAACAAATAATTCTTACCCCAGCAAAACAGACACACCTCTGTATTACACAATGTGCACTGAATCACAGACATTAGCTTTTCTCTGCCTGTGTCCATTGGAGGGTGGGAGTTCA